ATTCATTGTTAGATTTTTTTTTTTTTACTTGCCAATTGAGAAGATTTGCTTGCATAATGTTTTAATTAATATTAAACTGTTTTTTTTTTCATTATTGTTATTAAAAACTATATTTTGGTCCCAGTGAAAATTTTATTGTTTTGCTATTATTTAGCTTTTTTGGACCCTGCAATATACCTATATCTAGAGGTAGAATGCATTTTAAATATATGATTTTCTTTCTATAGATCTAAAGGCTTTGAGTAAGCTGTGCTCACACGGGTTGTTCATGCTGAATCATAAAATTAAATCCAGATCCACATCATCTTGAATATTGTATCAATAGGCAGATGAGATGAATATAATGGCGCTGAGGTTGAATTTGCGTTTGGATTTCCCCTCATCTGGTTTCCCATCTCCTGATGCTGCAGGGCAGGATATAATGAGCAGTATGCAATGCACCTTTCAACAACGTGTTATAAAGAGCAGCGCGTTACATAACGCCGGCATAACTGCCAAACCCTGTGTTCAGCTGAGAGAGAAGGAGAGGAGCGAGAGCTCAAGGGCACTGCAGTATGTTCAGATTCACCCGGATAAAAAAGGAGGGAGAAAAAAAAGAGAGTTATTCATAGAGATTGAGGAAAGGGGGGGAGCGTAAAGGAGGAGGAAAGACGCTGGAATGGAGGAGGTATTGATTTGCTTAGAGGGAGGACGGGAGAGATGGTGAAAGTCAGTCGAATGGAGAAAGCAATTGAGGAGAGATGACAGAAAGATTCTGATTTAGATTACAATAATTACGCTTTCTTAAAGGAACAGTTCATGTAAAATGAATATATATATATATTATTATTTTAAGTTATAAACAAATTGTATATATATATATCATTTTGAGGCAGTATGTTTGTGCATAATTACATATTTTATAACAGTTGCATTAAAGAAATTAACAATAATATATATAAGCATGCATATATATATATAGAGATAATTAATGTATAATGAAAAAATGTATCATTTGTACAGTCCAGCATGCTTGTTTCTTTATGACAGTTCCAGTTTTGTAGTCCATTTCTGTCAAGATCTATAAAAAAAAATACAAAAAAGAAAGCACAATTGTGCATAATTCATATATATAAATATATAATATTATTATTATTACATTCAGTTATGTTTACAGTTGTTTTTTATATAGTACAACTATTTAGTATTTATATAGTAATTTTGAGGAAGTATGTTTGTAAATGCATATTTTGTTCCATTTGCATGAATAAAAGAAAGCAGACATTCCAGACCTGTAAACGTAAACGAACATAATAAATAATTTAATTTCAGTATTTTTTTATTTAATTTTTTTTTAAACATTCAGAACCATTTATCGATTCCCAACCCTAGAATTAAGGTAGGACAGTAAAGGAAACCCTTAATGAAGACAAGAAGGAAATCTTGAGCACCTGTGTCTCTGTAATATTCTCTCTCTCTCTCATCTGCATACATTAATATCAGTTAATGCCGTGTTTTTATTGCCGTCTCTGAGCTCTGCTATGCATTAAACCAGCCGTGTATTAGCAATCAGCCATTTTCCTGCACGTCTTTTCTCCCATGAACGACTCTACAGGGACGGAGGAAGAGCAGACTGGTGCCGTTTAATACTGGTTAGTTACCCGAGTGTGCTCTTCACAACCCCATTCTCCACCCTTCATGAGTCACTGTGCGTCTTTGGCTTGTAGAAGAGCACATAAAGCTGTGAATAATACCTGCTCGCGATAATGAGTGCACTTCAATGCGTTCTGCCTCCAGTTCTGTGCTGCATTTTGGTCATTGAGCCATAAAGGTTCTTTCTTGTCTGTGTGTGTGCTCCAGTTAATTTTTCCAAATACCGCCACTGAGGGTTGTGTTTTGTATTTGTGTGGTATGTGAAGATGGCATTTCCTGAAGAGACAGCCATAAATATTGATATAATAATTTTATTTGAATAAGTGCACATGCAGTCTGAATATGTGTTATTGTAATAGCATTACTATATTGTTTATTTCTTTATTTTTTATATTTTTCTGCTTAGTTTTGTTCATTTTTATCTCAGTTTTAGTAATTGTAGTACTTCAACTTAACCTAAACAAAATTAGAAATGTTGCCTTGGTGTGTGTGTGTGTGTGTGTGTGTGTGTGTGTGTGTGTGTGCGTGCGTATTTTTTAAGTCACTTTGCATAAGAGCATCTGCTAAATAACTAAATTTCTGTTAATGTTTATTTTATTTCAATTAACGTAAGTGGTTTTTAATAGATAACAGGAATGTGTTGAATATGCATTTTCTTAATTATGATCTGCTGTAAAATATTTAATTTACTAGATATTATTTTTATGAATGGAAAATTAGCCAGCTTGATCACACTGAGATGCATTTAAATCTCAGGATGTCTTTTTTTATGATTTATGATTCATACCTGACATACAAATGGAAATCTGCCATAGAATTCTCCATAAAATGATTTGTAAAAAGCATCATGTAATCACAAGTTAAAAGGTCACTCACATTTATTGGTGTAAAATGGTAGCATCCATGCATCTTGTCTCTATTGCTCAAGAATCATGTTATCTGGTCTTTCATTTTCCATCAGTATATTTGATAAGAATAAGAATCCCGAGGCAGTCGATTACATCACGTCTGAACGGGTTCTGAATACACACGCCTGTGTTTTCAGTAGATTTCCCGGTTACGTCTGTGTGGCAGTTGGATATCCTTCACCATGCCATCAATCATACTGGCCTACTGAGGAAGACATTAGTGCAGAGAGGAAGAGGTGATTGTGTACTGGTGCGAGGGGCACCTTCATCCACCAGCAGCTCAAGGTGATCCTGTCACAGCCTGATTAATGACTCGTGGTCTGCAGAACACCAGCGACTCAGAGCCGCCCATGCACATAAAACACAACATGCACATGCACAAAGTGCAGTCAAACCTGCTTTATGTCACTTTGAATTGTCCATTAAACAGAAGTGATAATAATCTGAGATGACGGCAAGCACAGGTGCACAATACCTTCACTAGATGGTGCTGTTGGGTTGCTTATGAAGACACGTAATATAAAGCATTAAAAGTGTGCATGCATGATGGTTACCTGGATGCACTTCCTAAATTGCATTACATTAAAAAAAAAAAAAACTTACAGGAATCTACAATTCAGCATTTGTGAATGTGCGTCAAATGCTCCACAAGAATCCCACTTTAGTGGTTTATGGATTTTTGTAGTACTTTACAACACAATTTATAATATTGTATATTGTATTTGGTGTTTGTTAGGCATGCAACCCAGTGCATATACTTTTATTTAGGTAAGAAAATGTAAAGTGCTACTAGCTTATGTGAAATGATAAATAAGGTTAGGAACAGAGTTTGTGCATTACCTTAATGGCAGCGGTTCAGTTTGCTTTTCGAAATGGTTTGTGTGTAAGCAATGTTTTTATGTATATTTTTTTTTGTTATTATTATTCCCCACAAAATCTCTACAGTTTGTCCAGATAACCTTATTAACCTTTTTTTAATCATTTTGACTAATCTAATTCTGATTCTAATCAATACCACTGTTTTTTTCCCCATGTTGGAGTACTTGTAAAATGATTTGTAAAAATCTGTATCCTGTAATTTTGTGATGTGTAAAATTGTGATGGTTTTTATCAGCTGTTTGGACTCTCATTCTGACGGCACCCATTCACTGCAGAGGATCCATTGCTGAGCAAGTGATGGAATGCGCAAATTCATCAAATTGTCATTTCTGGTTGAACTATTCCTTTAAGCTGATCAGAATGCTTGTCCTTAATATGTAATAATGCGAAATGGAACTGACATTCCTTGTTCATCCTGCACAGTGACCCCTTTAACCCCTTGAGTGGCACCGGCCCACAGGTGGGCCCAATGGCGCTCTTTTTTGTTGTTGTTGTCTTTTTTCACATATTTTAGTAATCATCATAAATTATATATCATTTTAAAGCTTAAAACCTCAGAATTCATCCTGTGAAAACCATTTTAAAATCAGACATTGCTTTACCATGGAAATGGTACTTTAAAATCTTTTAGCGGTCTCCTCCCCTTAGTGGGTGGAGTCAAGTGTCATATTACAAAAATGTATTACGATCTTTTAGAATCAAAAGTTTTTATAATCACTTTAATATTTTGAAATGATTCCACTTCTGCAGTAATCTGCAGATAGTCTTAAAAAGAAGTCCAACCTTAGGTCTGTATTCCAAAGTTTTCATGAATTAGAATAATTTAAGTTTGGATAGTGCATTCTCACGTCTATGTTCAAAAATGGGGGGTGGCACTTAAAGCAGCACTATGTAACTTTTGGCGCTCTAGCGGTTAATAAACAGAACTGCACACATCCCGCGGAAGAACATTCCAACCGGAGCTACTTCTCTAAGTTTATGTCTATGGCGATTCACGCAGGTATGTGTTACTCCGCAGCGGTGACGACCCGACCAGGCTACAATAGTCCAAATATAAGTACTTATTATAAGTGTACCGTAGTGATTCGGAATAAGACAAAAACGTGGTTTGGAAGATGAATTCATGATGTACTCGCTCATTATATACATTTTGCAAATTTTGAACACAGAAAAAGTTGCATAGTGCTGCTTTAAGGGGTTAAAGTGTGTGGGCATTAAATAAGCGTCTTATTAAGGGAAGGGATATTAAGTGGATTAGACTGTAGTTTGAATCAAATCTACATGTACGTGAGAACATTCCCAGAACACTGTTTAAATCCAGCACTGCTTGTCCCCAACGCACCGTTATTCACCCCATACTGATCTGTCCATCAGTGTGTGAAGGTGTGTGAGCTTTGATTTCTGCTGCTTCTCACTTTTTGTCTCTCTCTCGCTCGCTCGCTCGCTCAGGCCACTGCTTTGCTTGCTTTATGTTGCTTTGCTGTGTTTTGCTTTGCTCTGTTGTGCTTGTGCTTGATGGTTTGCCTTTTAATCATGACCTGCTCTCGTTTTTGTTTGTTTCCTTCTTTTTGTCATTTCCAGATTTGCATATCCATTCTTCCTACCTCCTTCATTTGCCTTTCCTTCACTGAGAATGGCAAGCGGGCATTCCACTGACAAATTCAGTTTTCTGTACCCAACAGACACCAGTCAGAACGTTAAGAGGTCAGTCTTAGTGCTCCGCACCTTCCACCATGTGTGTGCATGTTTTTGTGTGTTTATGTTGTGTGTGTTTTGGGGTTGGGACGTTACTGATGTTGTGTTCACTCTGATTCCAGCTACATATCAGCTGTATGTCAGGATTCTGTCCCCTAGAGATTGTATTATCTTGATGTGTTTTGTGTCAGAGCAGCACACAGGTTTCACCTGCTCGTTGTTGGTTTTGTACCTCTGATCAAGCTTATTAAAGTCACCATGAAATGTCATTCATAACCCATTTTGCTTTCATAATGATGATGTCATCGATTTCCGAATCATATCCGAGTGGATTTGTAAAAAAAAATGGCCATTATAGAATAATGTGTATTTAAAAAAGTAAATAGACTTTGATTTCATGTTGACTGTAAGCAATAAGGGGTAGTTTTACCCTAATTTTAAAAAGTGGTATTATAATATGTGTTAAATTAAATATATAATTTATTAAATATACACTACCGTTGAAAAGTTTTGAGTCTGTAAGATTTTTTTAATATTTGTGAAAGTCTTTTATGGTCACCGAGGCTGCATTTATTTGATGAAAAATACAGTAAATATTCTGAAATATTATTACAATTAAAAAAAAATTTTTATTGTAAAATGTAATTAATTCCTGTGATGCAAAGCTGAATTTTCAGCATCATTACTCCAGTCTTCAGTGTCACGCAATTCTTCAAAAATCATTCTAGCATGCTGATTTGCTGCTCAAAAGAAACATTTCAAGAACAGGATTTGTTTGAAATATAATTTTCTGTCAAGTTTGGTCAATTTAATGTATCTCTGCTGAATAATCACAATAAACATGGTTATGGTTGGCACATTAATATAGAATTCAAGTGTGTGTGTGTGTGTGTTGACTTTTACAGTGCCTTTTCAAACAAGGGCTCATCCATTGTTTTATAATGTAATTTTTTCAATCTCTAATTAAGCTTATACTTGTTTATTAAAGCAGTAAGCCATGAGAGGCCATGCGTTACAATGATTATTCGATGCTAAAGGGATCTTGTTAAGCAACTGATCCCCCTTAAACATAGTAAACCCACTGTAACTCATGACCTCGTGGAAAATAATGTTTTTTTTACTTTAAACCGCATAAACACATTTCATTACACCAAATACACAAAATAATGTTCTTTTTAGCAGCATCATATGACCCCTTTAATGCTGTTTTCTCCAACTTGCCAAATATTATATTATACTTCTCTTGTGCATTTTACATGCTTATAAAAGTGTTTAGGGGAATGGAAAGCTAAGGATTATTTTCTTTTTGAATCTTTGATATGTTTCATGCAGTTTCAAGCCACTTTGACTAGTTAGATGTCGTGACCTTGATCTTTCATAATGGCGTTTGTGAGTGTGTGATCATAGATCATAAATCCGCTCGCTTTGACGCCACATTCCCCTCTGACGTTTCACCTCTCCCACACAAACGCTCGTGACACACTCATGGCACATCTGAACACATGCTAACAGCTCCGTGCTCACAGCCTTCTCCCGTTTCCGCCGTGTGTGACCGAGGTGCGAGGAGAAGGTTCTGACACATGATCCTCCCCTATTTGTGCACTTTTCTTCCTCTATTTCTGTCGTTCCCCTTGATTGACTGACTTTATAATTCCATCAGAGTGTCAGAGATCAGACTCGCACACATACACAATGAGAGAGGATAACACACACACACACACACACACACACTGTTTGCCATAAGGATCCTATCACTAGTTCACTCTCACAATGGAAATATCACTAGTGCTGTTTTCATGTTCAGCACTGTTTTTTTTTTCATTAACATAGTTTCAGATTATTCTTTTTGAAGTTTTGGTAAATATCCATCACATGCAAGATTTTTTCAGACCCTGCAAGGATTATGAGCAACATGATGATGTAATGTTACACTCCAGGGGCCTCATTTATAAAATGTGCGTACGCACAGATTTGATTTTAGAGTGTGCGTACGCTAAAATCCACGGCAACGTTCATATTTATAAAAACGGTCTTTGACGTGGAAAAGTACCTACTGCCACGTCAGGGTCTGAGCAGGCGTATGCACTTTTCCTTGTGGCAAAGTCAGAGTACTGCAGCTATTTTAACATCAAATGCCGAGTTCACACTGCACGATTTTAGCCCGATTTTTCACTCGGCGACAGGTTTTGCGAAATCGCCGACAAATGCCCGAAATCGGAGGCAAATCGGTGCTCGTTCACGCGAGAGACAATCACGCAGTGTGAATGATCAAAGACGCGATCTGAGGGAATCACCGACACGTCGCGACGCCCGTGAAATATTTGCCATGCTAAATATCTGAAGCTGTCGGCGATTCACAATCACGCTGTGTGAAATGAGTTCTGACTGAAAAACACATCAGCGATGACCTACAGCCAATGAGAGACCAAGATACAGGGCAGCGGGAAGTT